TAAAAAAAGTGGTTAATCACTTAGATATATAATACAGTATATATAGTATGTATGTATAAACTATTGTTGCTAGCATAAAATTCGTTATATAAATCAATTCTTTGAGATCTTAAACCATATTGTTTATATATTTTTTTATAGCACAGAGGGAAACGCCCATGGACACTCTCAATGCCAGAGGGCTCGCGAGTGCGTTGCCATTTGACCTAAGTTTGAATATTTCAATACAAATACTATACGCTATAGTAGTTACACTTAATTCCTGTCTCGTCACATCGTAGACTCCGCAATTAAGTGTTGCACGAAATGCATTTCTTTTAATTTTTGTATCACTATTCCCGGCCCACCCCTGGAGGCTCTACACACAATGCAGAGCAATCTCGTCTCGCATTCGTCTTCAGATAATTCCTGTACAGAGGACTCATCGTGTAAAACGATATTGTAATTTATTATTTTTTTACACTTTGTTGCACAAATATAACAGTGTAGTTTCAGCTAAAATTATGTTACGTACGAGCCAAAATATAGTATTATATATTTACACAATTAATTAAGATGCAAAATAATACTTAACATTAAAACACAGAAATTAAGAAGTGTCGCGTCATCGAAAAGACTACTGAAGTTTCTTTTTTTTTTGGGGAGGGGATGGCCTCCGGAAATCTCTCTCAACGCACGAAACGCGAGTACTATAAGGCGAACCTATTGCATCACTTCACGCCGGTTTTCTGAAAGACAGTGGTACTGCCCCGGTCGTGCCTGCCCATTTGGCTGAAGTCCGAAGGCAGCATGGCACTCCCACTAGAATTAAATTATAGATGCTTGCATAGATAAAATGTTTATTTAAATATATGAAGGAGAATTATATACGTTTGAATAATCATAAATAATTCTTTTTTTTATATACTTTGAGTAATGGATGTTTTTTTATCTTTTTCATATATTTTTGTAATGTCTCTTTATGTGTTGTGGCTCTAGCGCGAAGCCAGCCTTTTCAGAATTTGTACGTTTTTCTTGTAGGATCCTAAGTAGAAATTACGGAAATACCTACACGGTGGTTTTACTTAGTCGAGGTCACTAATAATTTGATTTTTGAGCAAGTTGATATGCACATCCGATTAAAATTAGAGTTAGATCCCTATAATTATGTAAAAGGTATATAAGGACAAGACAAAAATAGAAAAGAATAGGTTGTGTGGGTAGTTGAATGACGTGAAGTACCATAATTTCTGTGGGACGGGTACTCTGCGGTTGACAGCGCTACGGCTTCAGGTTTCATTTTCTTTTCATCAAGGTATCTTCACGCTCCGGCAACGACGTCTCCGCAACTCGCGACACCCCCTCCCAACTCCCTGAAATAGCCATCCTACCGATTTGAAAACTGCTTAATTTACCTTTCAAAAGAATCAAAGGGATTATTGTTTAAATTCGAAAAGTTTAATGTTTTACTTAAGACATTAATTCTTAACGAAATAAATGGCCGTAATTATGAAGTTTTATGCTAACGTAAAAATAAAAATGAGCACAATATAAATACGTTGTTAAAATAATCGCAATAGTTCGTTTGTTATTCTTTCACGTCTAAATCGCTTAAAGGATTATGAGAAATGTCGGTACATTGATTTACTAGGTTCAATTATAGATTACTTCCGGTAAAATAAATGATGCAATCAGCAAAGTCATAGGGTAGTTTAGTAATTTATAAATCTTATACTAATCGTTAATAATCAAAAACTATTGAACTTCTTTATACATACAATATTTTATTCAATATCACTTTCAAGGTAAATCAATTTTGTTAATTAATTTTGATGAAATAAATCATTGTTATCGAGAGAATCTCTCAATCGCCGGATTGCAAATAAATCTCAATTGAGATGCAAAGTTTCATTTCAAAGCTATCGCTATATTAACAGTAGATTAATTCCAATTCTTGCCCTCTACAGGCTGCCTCTACGGTTTTACAAAATACACTCCTATGCAATGTATTAGCTACGCCGTAGAACGTAGAACAATGAAAATACTTCTTGGACGTTAAAAGACGAATTGCGATTGGTAATGAGATTTTCATTAATATATTATTTATAATAATAGTAATACTTATATTTGTTAGATTCATTTATTTTCAATATTTAATATGTATATTATAAAGAAGTATTTAAATCTCTCAGACAAAAATCGTTCCGATTTGTGGTCTTGTATTTTGTTAGCAAAAAAACATAAAAACCACAAAAAAAATCCAATTCTTCCCTGAGTACCATAGAATTATATTTATTCCAAAATGATAGAAATTTTACTGTTAAGTCTAGTAACGTAGAGTATAAAATAACGATGAATAAATTAATACAAAGAAATCTTCAAAAAATCTTAGAGTAAGAGTAGTAAGCGTGGGCCTTTAATTATAATAACATGTTTAGTATTGAAACTTTAATGTATAAAAAAATTACATTAAGGCTTTTAGGCTTCGGACCGTAGCCTAGCACGATTGCGCACAGTAGTTAGTAAGAAAAGCTCAGTGCTCGTTTAGACCCAAGAGAGGTGTGACGTGAACCGCTCTACCGTTCCGAGCTTCCGAACGAAACTTATATAACTTACGCGAGTGTTTAATTAATAATGTTACTGTAAAAAATGTTTGGTATATATGCCTTAAGGATTGGTCTATTGATGGTTTCATAAAATTGTAAGTATTTCTTTACCAATTTAACAGAATGTTTTCCTGGGCTTAAGAAATACTGCATTTCTTTTAAATGAAATTTATATAATAACTTTTGAAAGTTAACTTTAGGATCGTTCTTTAAAATATGGAAAATGTAAATGATTTTTTAGATAGGAACTTAGAATTTTTTTTCTTAAGATTTTACTTTATGTTAGTAAGTGTTACATGTTATTTTGTGTTCTTTATTGTTTATTATTTTTGCACTTGTACTTTACCCTCTGTAGGTGTTTCTTTTTTATTGTTCCATATGTATATGTTTTTGTATTAGGGACCGAAGTATAAATAAAACAAAATAAAACATTTCGAAGGATAAACATATTTTTTATCTTGACAATATTTTTATTTATTTAATGTACATGTATTTTCCTAACTCACGATCTATTCGGGATTTTTGGACAATATTTAGGTTTCAGTATGGACACCCTAACTGTAGCTAACTTCAACGTTTGTTATTTGCTTATGTTATACATATTACTAATACATTATGAATGCACGTATTCTATTCACAAATTTGTTAGAACAATATATCGTAAAACCTTTTTAGATTAAACAAACCAATTTAAAAAAAAACAAAACAGAATTTGATACACTTACTTTGTGGTATTTTTATGCCAGAAAGATTTCAACGGGAGTCAAGCGCGACTTTTGCAGTTGTTCAAACTAATACACACATGAGTTTATTTGATAGACAACTCCACTTAGATAAGACATTTATATAACTCATGAACATTACTCCACCGCTGATCCCTTGTCAGAACAATAGTGTGATGTACCCAAATTTTCATGCAGTTTCCCGATACAACGGAGGCTACATAATTCTAAAGACTGAATTTTTCCGTAGACTGTCATATACAATCAGCTGTTGAAAATAATTAAATCTAATTTTAATTTCCTTTTTATTTATTTATTTATCCCACATCATTATTCTATCTTAACAGTTATTAATTCGATAGAACGACACATTAATTATACCCACACCGATCAACCTACATAAAAAAACATTAAAAAAATATATTTATATACCTAAATCTTATAACTAATCTATTTTAAATAAATACACTGACAAAGCTAGCTCTCTTCTACGGCGTAGCTGGTCATAACCCACCATACCCAGAACAAACATAGTCGGGTACATAAGTGGATACAAGGGATACACAGTCTCTTGTAGAGGTAATGTGTGTAATTTTATGTCTTTCTATATAACATTTTTTAAAAGCGGCTAAACCTTTAATTATTGTAATGAGTCTAGCTTGAAGTTTAATCTCTGAATCTATCTCTTGATTAGACAAACTTATAAAAGCTCATTAGTGTTATGTGTTAGAACTTCAAAGGATTATATGGCTCATAGTTCACTTTGACATCATATATTTAGTATTTACTGCAGTGCAATTGCAACGCAGACTACTCCTGACATCAGTCTTATCAATTTAAATAGACTATTAATACACTAGATGGCATATGCCAACTGATGAAATTAATATAGAACAGATACACGATGAGAAATAATAAAATAGAAAAAAAAAACAGAGGACGTAACCTCTTTTGACCCCAGATTTCTGAATCTGTTTCATGATCATTTTTAAATCTAATAGGCAAGTAGGTGATCAGCCTCCAGTCCCTGACACACGCCGTCGACTTTTTGAACCTAACACATGTCGGTTTCCTTAATGTTAAATGCGCACATAGAAATTCCATTGGTGCACAGCCGGGGTTCGAACCTACGACCTCAGATATGAGAATCGCATGCTGAAGCCACTAGGCCAACACTGCTCACGGGAAAGAATAAGTTATCCGAATTCTTAGTAGATAACATGGCATTATCTATAAAAATGCTTTCACGACTTACTACGAAAAGCTTATTCATTTTCTATATTTCATAATTATACCAACGTTATTTACAAATGTAATCGATGCTATAAGCTTATAATAAGTACAAAGCAAAGTAGTAACTTCGCTCCGTCTTCGCCCAACAAGTTTCCATCCAAGTTCATTTAAGTTAGTTAAAGATATAATGTTTAGAATATTAAATCAGTGAAACAGTAAATTCAGAATAATTTTTCCGGGAAACTCTAATTAATCAGTTCATAAACAATTTTTAGTATCATTGGTTATCACACCAGTCATAGAGTGAATGGAGGAATAAGGGCTTGGAGACGTTCTCGTATGTAGAGAGTTGTAGGATGGGAAGGTCTGTGATTACCTTCCTCCTCGGGGAACCAGGAATAAGCTCTATAAATAACAGTCATTATTTGTTATAGAACGTGTATCAGGAGACGAGTTACTTATGTCTCCCTGCGGCGTGTGTATCCTCATGACGATATTATGCAGTAAGTCCTTCTTTCTTTAAAGTTTCTGTAAACTGCCTTGCGATTCTGTAACTCTGATTTGAGCGCGACCGCCGATGCGAAAACCGCTGTGAGAGTTCGAAAAGTGAGTTACAGAATCGCAAGGCAGTAATCGTTTTATGTTTTAGGTATTAACTTCCTATAACAGCCAATTCTTCCATTACCCATTGGCATTATCGAAAAATTAATTGTATAATATCGATTCAGGAACGAGGCTTAGCAGTTAGCACTAACTATGACTTCCATATGTCAAAATTCATCATTTATGTTCCTGAAATTAAAAATACAGATGATAATAATTAATGATAAATACATTAAATTAAAAATAAATAAAACTAAAACAAAGCTATTTCAGAAGTTATTTTATGATAACAGAACCTATACATATTTTTATTTTTAATTTCCATTAAACATACATAATTTGATTTGATGGCGTAGCACCAGTCTCTAGGACCTTCTGACACTGACACTTATAAACACTGTTGATGGTTTTGTTATGTGGCTAAGGAATGGAAATCAATATTTTAAATTATCGATTTGTGATAAATTTATAATTATTTACAAGTATATACTCTATGACGTTTTTGATAGGCACGTTAAATACAGATCATTTTTATTAACACTTAATTTTAATACTGTCAAAAAATCAATACATTTCTCCTTGCAATTCTACACTCTCTAATTGATGTTTCAAATGATATTTATATGTTCATAACTATTTTTTGCAATGCTTCACAGATAAATAAAAAAAGTTTACTTTGTAATCTTACCAAAAATATAAACAGGAACCAGACTTAACGCAGTTTGAAAGAACAAGAATGTTTTCGAAATATTCGATTATGTCAACATGGCCGCGTCTCGATTCGCGAACTACTTTAAATCTCACCCTTAGGCCATTACCTTGGTAAGTCCAGCGACTTCTTACAACGAAATACCTTTTGCCATCAGGTGCATGGTCAGAAAGCACCAGCGAGGCGCGTCTTGGGCCCATTTTTACCACAGAACCTCCGAGTGTTGTGCGATACGCACGCGCGTCTGGAGCGCGGGTAGCGTGTATTGCGGTCGCTGCTGGTCCTGCACCCACCATCACATGGCTTGCTGATGATGGGTCAACCCTTTCAGATTTGCCAGGTGTTAGGTATGCTATTTTTTTTTTATTTGCGCTATTCAACTATGGCTATTTTTTAAATTTATCTTAGTACGTACGTAAGACTTCGTTACTTGAACAAAACTATCGTAACTATGGCCAAAAAAGCGATTTAAAATAATGGAATGACACAACAAATGTAATATTAAAATCTAGTCTACGCGTTATTGTCATTATTTCATTATTGTTATCTAAAGAAAATGTGTAACCAAGATGCAAGACCACAGATGTAAGTTTTGAAAAGTTTAGAATTCAGTCTTTTTAACAATAAGTCTATGAGAAAATTACATTCTATAAAGCAGGAAGTATCCCTTCTCTCGCCTCTCAGTTGAAAGGGGGTGCGAGCCAGTGTCCTCTCTTAACGAGAGTCATTTCCGTAACAAATGACAATCGTTAACGGTGCACAATGTTCGTTCCTATGAATAAGTGCGAATATCTCATTGTCTTTAAAAATTACTTTTAAATTCACCAATTTGTCTTTGACTTTAACGAAATAAGTTAGGTTTAGGTTTAAAGACTTTATTTCTCAAAAAAGACAAAAAATGTCACTTACATGAGAATAATACTCTAGATAACATAAGTTCCCGAACAAACTAGAAAACTAACGTATAAATACCAGTTTAAGCGGAATATATAATGATACAGTTAATCATACATAATGTAAACTTTTGGGAGAGTTATTAATGCAAAATTTTAAAATAAAATTTATACTGAACCGTTGTTATTGTTATATACATAGAAACTTATAACGTTTGGCAATTTAATTTAAAGATAAGGACTGAGTTTATACAAAAAAAATTACTTTTATATAATTTAGTATGTAAAAATTAATGGGTATTAAAATTGTATTTATCTCAATACCACGGAGAATCAATTATGAACTGAATTGAACAAAATCTAAATTTTAATTTGGCATGTGTCAAGTTATACATCTTATAACTTTACAGACTACTAATGCCATGTATATCTATACTAATATTATAAAGAGGCAAAGTTTGTGAGGTTGTAAGGGGTAATCTGTGGATTTACTGATTTTGAAAATTCTTCTACCAATAAGTAGCGTGTGAGTGGCTATGTAATATATACTAACCCGAAAAATTAAGACATTTTCGTGGTCAGATTGATCGAATCAGATTTGAAAAGTTGATAAGCATCATAATGTCTACAAAAAGTTAGCAACAACATGTATTAAAGTTATATATTGTATAATATGTAACTTATAAATCCTCCGCCGCGTCTAACTGTCATTCTGCGATAAACTCAAAATCCACTGCATGGAATTTATTGCGGTTTTCAATATCTAGAATGATTCATGAGGTGTATAATGATTTTTCAAGGCTTACGGGTCACGATTGCTCGTGCGACGGGAGCTTCGCTAGTGATTGATAAACTAAGTAAAATAATTCACGGATTAACAGCTTTACATGAGTTATAGTATTAAAAGAAACTTATTATTATTCACTCAGGCTTTCTTAGTTTTATAAGCGTGATGATTACCTAAATCATTGGAGTTATGCCCCGAAAGTATAGCTAGACGTAGGCACCTTCTTCAGCATTTTAAAAACATTAATATATAGAGTGAAAAAATTATCCCCTATTATTTAAAGCCCATTGACCCAGGAACCATACAGTTAGAGAAAGTAAATGTTGTCTCTAACATAGTTATTACAAAAACAATCGACCTCCTGAGATTCCAGTTCATTAATTAGGAATGATAGCAAGGTAAGTGTCGGTCACAATGCAAGCAGTTTTGTTTTATACTTAATGTAGTTTATAAGTAAAAAGGTTTTTTGAGAGTGTGTGAGTGTTTTTACAGTATATTTGTAATGTTTTAGACGGATATACGCGAATGGAACGCTCGAACTGGTCCCATCTAGTGGGACCACGAGCGATGTTCCGACCACAGTCCGATGCCGTGCTTCTAATGCTCATGGAACGCTACTTTCTAGGGACGTACATCTAATGTCAGGTATTTTAAGTGATTAACTATTAACCAGTAATTTTCCACCTGCCTGCCCAGTGTCTTGTAGGGTTGACATTTCACATATCTCTAGTAGACAGACCTATACAAATCGGTGCCTAAAATACTTTCTTGTTTACAATTATTGCTTTAAACATTTAAGTAGTAAAATGTATATTAGGGAAATAAAGGTGTATTTTAATTTTATTTTATTACTAAGATATTGATGAGAAACCAAACAAATTCTACCTTTTGTTAATTTTAGTGGTGAAAAGTGAATCTTTTGTGTAGATAATATCTCAATATATATACTGTGCAGTGACAGATGGCGCATGGGAAGTGGCCGTAGAGACAGGGAGTACGAGCGTAGGTGGAGTGGCAGCACTACGATGCCGTGTCTCCGGAGCGCCAGCGCGCGTTGCGCTCTGGTACCGCGCTGACACACTGTTGGCAGTCGATTCGCCGTCACCCGGTAAATGTTTCTGCAAAGTAAAAATAATATAAATTCTAAATCAGTCGAAATACGTAGGGTGAATTCCTGAATAAAAAAGACTGTATATTTATATGGGCTTCAATTTACCCCCTGCAGCGACGATGTTTTTCCATAACGTTTTTATTTTCGTATACAGATTCCCGATACCTGTCTGCGGGTGATACTCTGTTGATTCGTGATGTGTCAGCGGCGGATGCAGGCGCATACAGCTGTGTCGCGCGACATGAGCTTACTGCTCTCACCCGTCGCTCAAGACCCGCGCCACTTGAAGTCATGCGTTAGTACTATTTAATTCAAATTTTGATCAATTGTATACAGTTAATACAGTAAAAATCATTCTTAAACATTCACTCGTAATTGATTTAATTAACATGTTTGTAATGGTGGCAGCTTCTTATAATATTTTCATAACTAAAGCAATATAATGGTGTTAGAACTAAAAACGTATCTTTTCAGCAAGTTCTGCAGTTGCGGGCAGTGCACCCCGTGTGACAGCAGCGAGTGAAGTTTCTGTCGCGCCCGGTGCACCCTTTTGTCTTCCCTGCGCTGCCTCTCAGTACCCACCACCACATTATACGTAAGAATGTTTGAGAGCATTATACTTGGAAAAAAAGCGTAAACGATGATTGCTGTTAGATGGTGTGAAGAAAAGTTGGAGGAATGGGAATTCCTCGTCCATGAGGTACAGGTCGTTTAGCACACTGTAAATCAGGATGATTCAGGAAAGTGAATAGTATGTTTATTTTAAATAAATAATTTTAATGCAATTTAGGAAATATCAATAAAGTACTTCTTTGCTAAAGTACTAAATATCTCACAAGATTTTTTTTTAATTTTATGAAAAATCTTAACGTGAGGGGCCTTTACTTTAACACTTTACATACCAAGAATACTTATCAAATTCAAAATACCTCAAAATAATGTCGGCCTATGTTATTGTACACATTTTTTTTTTTGTTTAAACTTGGTGTTGTTTGTAGCGGTTTATCTGTGATTTGACGCAGCTTTTTAATTTAATTATTGTTCTGTGTTGAATTTGAGGATAGATGGTACCGCGAGAGCGAAGGGCGGCTGCAGCCAATGGAAGGTGGTGATGCGTGGAGATGGGCGGATGGTGCAGCGTTGTGCGTGAAACGTGCCAACCGCAACCACGCTGGAGTGTGGCTTTGCAAAGCGTATAATGTATTTGGTGACGCCACAGCACAGACCCGCCTCGATGTACACCACGATCTTACTGTGGATCTTCAGCCACAAGTACTGGTAAGTTCAGTACCCAAAGTCTATTTAAAGCTCGCAAAGTGACGTTTGCAGTATGTCTCAATGCTGTCTTGCCTCACTCAAGTAGCACTTAAAGTAAAAGCTATGCCAATAATTATTCGAGTGGAAAAAAATTGTTTTTTTTTTAAGCTGTCCTAGACACTGGCTTCATAAAATATAAGAGAAATTGTAGAAATGGATTCCCTGGGGTCTCTTAAGTGGCTTATGGCAGACCCTAATATTAAAACTCACCTGTATTTTGTCAATTGATGATTGGTAGGTAGCAGAAGCGGGTGGGGCAGCACGGTTGCGCTGTACATCTAGTGCAACCGGTGCAGCGCTGCAATGGCTACATGATGGAGTCGCGTTAGCATCGCGTGGGCCCGATTTAGAGCTACGAGGTCTGACAAGAGGACAACGAGGAACTTACCAATGTGTGGCTCGGGATGGATTGCGTAGCGCGCAAGCTGCGGCGGAAATACGTCTTGGAGGTTATCTTAGTACAACTGTTAATACGTTGTTTTAAAAATAACTCATATACGTTTAACTAAGTAACAGTTTAATTCACGAATTAATTATATCTCATAATATTGTCTTTGATTAACATAACCTTTACACATTTAAAGAAAAAAACTTTTTAACCGGATTAAAGTTATGTATTATTATAAATTTACAATTATTTAACATAATTTTGTATCGACTTAGTCGATACCAACTCCGGGAAATAAATACAGATAATGCAACTTTCTCTACAGCTGTGATACTTTTTGACATCCAACACCCAAGTTAAGCAACGTCGGGCGAGGTCAGTACTTGGATGGGTGACCGCCTGGGAACACCTCGTGATGTTGTCTTTTTATTGTAGGGATAAGAAATGAAAATTATTTTTGGAATCACTTAACTAAATTAGTCTTGTTGGGACGAAGTTATCAAGCGTTGCGAAAGGGGGCTAGACGGAATAAATTAAGACCAAAAGTTGTAACGATACTTTTTGCTATAGTTGTTATATTTTACATTTTCGATTTAGCTATCGCCAACGTCCATACCACGTTGAATACACCGGTTCTCGTCCGATCACCGAAGTTAAGCAACGTCGGGCGAGGTCAGTACTTGGATGGGTGACCGCCTGGGAACACCTCGTGATGTTGGCTTTTTTTTTTCGTCGTAAGATTGGTGTCGAGAAAATCTATCATACTGTTATGATACCAATTAACATATAAATTAATCGAAAGGAATTTCGTTCCATCCGCGTGTCCCTTGACACCTCTAAAGTTTTTTCTTTATATCTCATAAACTAGAAATTAACATAAAATAATAAGACACTGTAACTTATTAATGCCGCCAATTTTTTTAATTTTTTTTGGAGTTTATGGCCAGTGGCCTGGTATCCAGACCTTTAGGTCAAATGCCGCCAAACGCAAAGTGACCACAGATAAATAAAAGTGTAATATGCCACAGACCATAGACCATAAGAAATAATATTCTTGGATACAATAATCTATCTGATGGTTCGGTCTGATAATATTTAAAATACACACCACACAAAAATCTGCCGTAAATTTGTATTATAGTTAAAATATTCAATCAATTATTTTCCAGCGGGGCTTTAATTTGAAGTTATTAAATTCTTATAAATCCTTCGAATATTAAGTACTCAGCAAAACAATACAATAAACTATATTAAAATGGCTTTAGAATTGTCACATGTATCAAACATTATTATTCACTCGTTACTATTACTTTCCGAAATAAAAAATATGAATGTTGCAGAGTCGCCACCAGAGCTCCAGTACACCTTCATTGAGCAAGCATTACGCGGTGGCGCTGCGGTCACGCTCCGCTGCGCTGCCGCTGCCTCGCCGCCACCAAGACTGCACTGGCAGCTTGATGACCAACCATTAGACCGCTATCTTGCACGACATAGGTACGCTAATGTAACACCATTTATAAATACTTACAAATATTTGTATTATTATAATTCACATATACATTGAAATAAATAACTAACCTTAACATATAATAACTAAAATATATTATTATAAGGAGTCCCTTTAGGAAATGTTCAGAAGATACTGGCAGCGTTCCCCCTTTGAATCTCTAGACTAATTCTTTGTCCGAGGTAGATGCCAGATGTTCGGTCTCCTGTGATGTCGACTAACCTTTTTGATATTTCTAATTAGGTTTTACGCTAATTAGGTTGTCAAATTAATATCTAGACCATAATTCGATTTTAATTTTAATTTCTAAGTAATACTAAAATACTCTTCTGGGAACCCTAACACAGGTATTTTTATACTTAAAAGGGTGCCCAAATCTTACACATAATAGTGAATTGTTGTCAAATGAATAAACACATTTTTAATAATACCAAATCTGTTATAAATAGAGTAATAAAATTCAGCTAACAATAATTGTTGACACGTCACACCTCTTAATTTTTATGTTAATTATGAAGGTAAATTTTATACACTGGCAACTCAAAAGTCTATAACAGAGCCTCTCTTTTTTCCCTAAAAACATGACTCAGTTTCTCGAGTAAAGAAAAACTACGTTACAGGTACTCGGTTCGCGAAGAGACATCTATATCTGGTGAAACAGTCTCAGTCTTAAATATATCATCAGCACAACCAACAGATGGCGGGCGATACTCTTGCCGCGCTTCCAACCCTCTTGGCTCTGTCTCTCACAGTGCCAGGCTGAATATATACGGTAGGTTTTGTAGGCGAGCACTAAAACTCTAAAACAAACTAATATTATGTTTATCTCCTTGTTATTATCTGTAACTGTAAGCCGGTAGCATAGCTTTACTATACTTTAATTGAGTTTTTTTATGTATAACCAATAACCATACTTGAATCAATAGTGGCTTAATCTTAGCTATATTCAAAATAGTATTTTCTCAAGATTTATTCCTATTTGACAACCGTGTTCCCTGCTTCCGTATAACTTCTGTTCATACACGCCGGATTTTATTTGAAAAATTGATATTTCCGTTGGTAGATACAGAAGGCCTAGCTATTTCAAAAATATTACCGCTAAAGCAAGCCAGAAATGTGTCCCATTGAATTTATAAAGTTCTTCAATACTCATTGTTTAATATAAAGTTCAACAGGTCTATGGCTCCCTGCCTCGCCCCCTAGTCATCTGCATAATGTATGCAGATGACTATGTATATAGGGGTATCTTGTATTCCTGTAGGAACAATTCTACGAAATGTATGATTCTTGTAGGTCCACCAGCGGTACGTGCACTGGAGCCTGTCAGAGCTGTTGCTGGAGACAACCTCACGCTGCTTTGTCCCTACTCCGGATATCCGATCAGGTCCATAGAGGTGCATTTGTACTGTATATCAATATTCTATTCAATTTTCATTATCAAATTCAACAGAAAATTCTTAATCACACTAATACATATAAAAAAAATTATAATCCCTCACTGCTCAAAGGAAAGTGATACAACTCAAAGAATTTCCATTATTATCTGTTGCTAGGCGCGCAATTATAACATAGTCTATGATCTGTCATGGATTTTTTTAACTTCATACATATTTCGCATTTGGTCCAAAAAAACACTTTTGAAATTATTAGAATACGTATCGCTAGGTCGTAAAACTTGAGCCTGCAATTTATTATATTAATTTATTCAATTCAATTCATGATCATTTATTCATAACAGCATAATAAAACACACACACACATATTCACAAAAATATTTTTCATCTAACAGTCAAAAATATAACTTACATATATTAAAAAATCTTGAAAAAAATATTATAATATTGATATGAAAATATTATAATTTTAAAAGAAAAGTGCTCTTTGATGTAGAATTAACACACTACTAACACCTTCTATACTGGAGAAAATTACAATTCATAGCAACTTTTTCTTCTTTCCCTTGCTGTATCGTAAGTCAATTCAGTTTAATAAACAATTTACACAAATCATATTTTATGATAGTAACACATATGTGTGTACGTAGCTCTGTACGGTGGAGCCGGCGAGGTGCACCTACGGCGCTAGAAGGTGCAGGTGGACGCGTCTGGGCAAGAGCTGCGGCCCTGAAGCTTTCACCTGCAATGGCTCAAGACGCTGGACACTATACCTGTACTGTCACAGCACCGCCTGCACCACCTGCTGCCCGGGATATCGAGATACAAGTCAGAAGTATGCTATCCTTTTGCTATGCTACATGAAGAAAGAAGTCTTCTTCTTTTTTATTGCCTAGATATAATACATCTCTTCTCTTGGCCATTTGCAGAGGCACTTACACGAAAATGCCTATATTCCTATCATGAAAAAGAAAATACTTTTTCCAGATCCTCCAAAGATATCACCGTTCATGTTCTCTCCGGAACTGACGGAGGGTGCAACAGTGCAGGTACTATGCGGCGTTTCGTCAGGAGATAAACCTCTATACTTCTCATGGTTTAAAGATGACCAGCCCCTGCCACCTAATTTGCAGGTGAGTTATTGCAGTCATAGTAATTTCTCAATATCAAAATTAGGAACCTTTAGATACAACTTCTTTAACGTATAAAAATGCAACTTTATTATATTTATCAAACATGTTATTTAAGCTTTAGTTCGTAGGTACGTGATCACTTAAGTTTATAAGCTCGTTTATAACATGATACGGTAATAATACAATTTCCTTAAATGTGTTTTAGATAGAGGAGAAAAGTTTGAACGAGTTTTCACTTTTAATGTTCCCCGAACTACGAGCGGCGCATAGTGGACGATACACTTGCCGCGTTGCGAACCGAGCCGCTGCTGCAAATTACACAGCTATACTTACTGTTAAGGGTATTTATTTTTTATAATTTACCATATAACTTACTAAGGTGACGTTTCCAATTGTACAATACATAAATTGTATACTAGCAAAATAAATAATAATAAATGACAGCTTTCAACGGCTGTAAACCGAAGTTTGATAAAAGCAATTACACAAAGGATTAATACTCATTATTACTTTTGATTGTAATTATTAGTAATTATTACTTATACAGATTTTTTTACTCACCAGTTGCTCCAAGTTGGGAAACGGAACCTCTTGACTCCGCGGTTCTGCTGGGTGCACCTCTAAAACTTGATTGCGCGGCGAGAGGCTTTCCCGCGCCTCTTGTGGCGTGGTATAAGAAAATTGGTGGGTTAAAATAACTAAAAAAGAATGTTAATTTTTTGTATTACTACTAAATACCTACACTAGGCATTTTACCACGGGACTTTTTTATTCCCAAAGTCAAAATAGCTATTTCAGAAAAAAAATTGTAAGATAAGCAAAGTAAAAAAACGTATGTATAGTGTGTACTTATGTACGCGTTAGAAGTTATACTTCTTTGGCGTAACAAGATAAAAACTTTCAAAATTTTTATTATTAAGGTATTTAATACATTGAAAGTTTTATTATAACGCATTATCTAGTTAAATGAAGTTCAATTAAATATCACAAAATAAAATGTTGACTATAGCTAACTTCAGGGTTTCGGTTTTTTGTGACGGTGTGCGCGCGCTCGCGTAAAATCGTAAAAATTTACTCCTATCATTTCTCCCTAACGCGCCAAAAGAAGTATAACTTCAAAAATTCAATAATTTAACTAAGTTAGATTACAATATTCTGTTAATTATTACATATTTTTTTCACAAGAGGGTGCAAGTAGTGGGGATGGTACAGAGCGTTGGGAAGCAACAGCTCCTGGTTGGGAGGGAGGCGAAAGGCAGTCTGAAGGGAGTCAGGCGAGCGATGCCATACGAGCCACGTTATCCGCTAGAACAGCTTTGCGATCCCACCAGGGTTTGTACCGTTGCAGTGCTGAAAACGGAGTTGGACCACCTCTACTCAAACAAGTTAATATCACTGTTCACGGTGAGTATCTGTTGTAGTATTGAGGTATTGAGGTATTTTGTTTGATTTATTTGTTATTATTTATATATATCTACATAGGGGTATGGGTATTACTGTTGCACTTTTTCTTACTAAACTATAAAAAGGAGTCATAATTTATTTTTATTTTATTTTAACCTAATTGTGTACATCGACACATGGCGCGTCAATAACAGATTCCTACAGTCGTACTTTATACGAGTACCTAAAAGTTTAAAATTGCAATAGTGTTTAAATTTTCAATAAGTAATTCTAGTAGTTAATTTTGTTTTTAAGTATTATAAGATTATTGTAATGTCGACGCTTCAGTGAACGGCGAAATTGTAACCAATTTTCGTTTCGCGTATATATTTTGTATTCATTATAATAAATTTGTAATTAAAAAAAAATACGTCTCTGTTGTCATTAAAATACTACATAATGCAATTGTAAAACAAACGATGCCAAATGTTATATGTAAAATAAAATAAATGTATCACGACCTAACTTTTTGTACAACATATGTAGTAATTTTTTCCGGTTTTTTTTTAAATTCGTGGCATGAAATCAGTTTAACCAGCCACGTAGTATAATAATTATGTTCATGTAAAATTTACCTCCTTAGGCTTTTAACAACAGAAGAGTCGTTTTTTACCAGAGCCTGCCAACTTTGGGACTTCGAGTGACGTGTCACGCAACACGTCAGCTGTGCTTGGGCAAAGCGCTACGCTTAGCTGTCTAGCGCATGGCGACCCTCCGCTGACTGTACATTGGACGCACCACGGACATAGACTGGACCTTGATAATTACAGGTAATTCTGCTCATTCAATTAAATTATAGTCTCAATAATAGCTTAATAAAACATTATTAATTTATAACAATAAAACTACAAAAAAGAGTAAAAATACTTCTTTGAGAATATTTAACTTATAATAATAATAATGCCCGTTTTATTTCCAATCATGACAAAAACAAATTATAATACACAGCTTAGATTATTTTAAATTTTTATAATTTTTTTTTCTTTTGCTTGTTATCCTATATCCTAGCTTCCTTCAGTACCGTCGATCGGAACCCCTTCACGGGTAAAGACCTCCTCCAACTTTTTCCAATTGACTCTGTCTATGGCTCTCTTTCTCGATTCGTTTCCTGCTACCGCTTCATTTCTTCTATCAACCTTACCAACCTTTTGGCCTACGTCTTCTCCTTCTTCCTCTTTTCCATACAGTTGTCTTTAAGGTCCACCTATTATCGGTGTATCTTGCTATATGCCCCGCCCATTGCCACTTCTGTTTAAGGGCACAATGTAAGGCATCTATCACTTTTGTGTTTTGTCTTATTTTTTTGCTTTTTATTTTATGTATTTTTCTTATTTTAAGTACGCTTCTTTCCATTGCTTTATGGCATGCTACTAGTTTAGTTTTTATTTTTTGTGTTGTAAGTCTACGTTTGGCAGCCGTATGTGAGAGTAGGTATTTAACTTATACTTGTATGGTATTCATTTATAACTTATATGGTATACAGATGGCGGGTAACAGAGACGCGTACCGCAGAAGGTACTCGATCGGCTCTACGCCTGCGTGCAGCTGAGCGCGCAGATGCCGGAGAGTACCGCTGCGTCGCGCGTAACGCCCATGGCCGTGCTGATCTCTTACTCTACCTGCATGTACACGGTGAGACAATGACTAATTATTAACGATATAATGTTTATTAGAGTATATATTGTGTCGACAATTTGAAACGTAAGATGTGGCCACGAAATTAGAAAAATATAATGTTTTCCAAAACGTTTCACTTTTATATTAAAGTTCCAATGCTTTGAATCCCAAAATTATATTTCACATGCATGCATATTTTTTACGAAATGTTGTTTTATAACAACAAACACATTATATCCATGGAAGGTACCTACAATTATTTTGAATTGTTTTAAACTGTTGGCAAACCTAAGCGCGCAACTTTATAACTGTATTACTAATTACACACATTTCCATACGTATTATGATTTAGAAACTTCAATACTACAGATTCAATAAAAAATAACATTTATATAAACGTTCTAAATATTAAAATCCACAGCAATGATATACATCGATATAAGTGGTGAATGTATATTTTAGTATACAGTATCTACCTAAATATGTAATAATATGTAGGTACGGAGTAAAACGAATTTAGAATAAATGTACTAGTACTTAGTAAATTTCTCAACACTGGTATATCATATTTATAGAGCCACCAGAAGCACCACGCTCCTTACAGTTAGTAGGACTAGGAGGAACGTGGGTGCAACTAAGTTGGCAAGCTCGTTCGCCACCCGGCACACGCTTCACTGCATTTGTGGCATCACTTGATCCCAGCACACTCATCCCTGACCAGTACAATCTTACTGTTCAACGTGATGATCATAGGTACTAGAATATTTTCTCTTATACATAAATTAGGTCAACACTTAAAGGATATAATGCTGAACATAACCCATACATGCTTTCATGTAATTAAAACGTTTTTTTTTTTAAACTTTTATTGACACAAATTTACTAAAGTAAAAACAGCAGCTTTACAATGGTCAACTTTACAAAAAAGGTCCTAAATTCTTACCTGCATTACCAAGTTAAGGTGTTCTTATCCGTAGAAGAGTCTTCTAACATTATTAGGAACTAGAGAATATATTTAAGCAATATATTGACAGCATCTGATTTCAAAAAACTGTGTACTTACTTGCACAGCGAAATTATGGATACGGGTCGGGATAAACTACTTGCGAGGCTTGAGGCACTACGTGCGGCACATGGATACTCTCTACGATTAGCAGCTCACAACCACGTCGGCACCTCACCACTCTCAGATCCATTGCGATTTACCACTCTAGAAGAAGGTAAGATTATTAATTTTAATGTATATGTCATCGTAAAACATACCGTTGCATTATTGATATAAGTAAATTTTTAATTGTGTGGTGCTGTCGCTTCATGGCGTTTTGTATTTCATTTTTGTAATAGGCGCGTATGGCGTTGGGATCAAATAATTAATTTTACTATTAGTATTTATTTTATTTATTTAACAAAACACTCGAGGTAAAACTAAAGTATATCACACTTGACATCTGTCTGTTTTACCTTTATTGGATAATACGGGCTTCAAACATATTATGTTTATCGAAATCAGTTATTAGGCATTGTATCGTAATGTTGCTCTGATAATGATTTTTGTATTAAGTTATTTTCGATTTGTATAGTTTCTTTAATTAAAATAATAATATATTTTATTTATCATCACCGTGTGGGTATTCATTTATGGTGCAATATTTATTGTATTTACATCTCTAGTGTTTAAATAATTGGTTCATTGACTAACAACAACAATTGACAGCTAACTAAGAAACTAAGTAAATAAGTAATTACATAAATAAAACAGAAAGTTCGGCTATTTACCTCGCCATTCGCTGGTGTGTTGACTTGTAAGCAAGTTCATCATGCCTGCTAGTGAACTAGTTGCAAGTATTTTTGGGTTTAGGCAGCCAGAAAACAAAGCAAGCGGAAAGTTTGGTGTGACAACTGACACTATCTAACTCGTTCAGTCGCTTTTTTTGAACTTGCTGGCTAACAGCTCGTAAACTAGCTCCGCTTAAAGCTTTAAATATAAATACACTAGCAGACCGGCCAAGCGTTGCTGTGGCTAAGGTTTTTGTTATATTACATAGTAGCAAACTATTCAAGGGAAACGGTAGAAGAACACCAGTCATGGGGATCACCATGCTGTTTTGATGGTTATGCCATTAAATTGTAGCTTATGTGAAACGTTGGTTCTTTATCTGTTAGAATTGTGACTATCAAATAATAAACATTTTGCAATAATATAATATTGCGGGTATAAATTGAGATGTAAACTATCCTATCTTTTAAGTTAGATGAAACTGCACACGGTGTGCAAATTTGATTGATATCGGTTCGGTAGTTTAGGAGTCCATAGCGGACAAACAACGTGACACGTAATTTATATATATTAAGATATAATCTAATCAATTGTAGCACCAGGAGGCGCACCTCAAAACGTTCGCGTGAGGCCAGTTGAGTCTGGAGAACTACATTTATCATGGAGTGTAAGTTTTTTAATATATTTCTTAAAAATACATAATATATTAATGACGTATTTCTCATCTACTGAGAACGTTATTGCATTTCAATTAAAATATTTTAGGATATACATTAAAATATACGTATTAAAATTATATATATAATGGTATCGATAGCTTATACGAGTACTGGGGATAAATAAGGCGCAACTGTGTTTCTCTGTGAATACAAAAGATTTATTTACTAAAGAAATATCTATTAATTTACATTTAATGAAAAATATATATTTACAAATTATTCACTCACCTGTGAATACAAAAGAAACAACATTTAAAGCCTCTATTTTAGGTTTTATAAAATAAAATAATGTAATGAAAAAAATTAAAACATCTTACATCTATTATGTCAAGTGACAAATTAAACATCGTCGATCAGACGGCAAAGAAGAAAAATAAATTATAAAAAGAGTTTGTATAGGAAAATATGTTTTCCTTACATATATACTAATATATTATATGTATTTGGAAACGGGTCTTTCTTAGCGGAAATGATTATCATTATTATATATATGATTATTATTAAATCTTTATTAATTAATCCATACAAGAATTGTTTAGTTTTCATTAAGTTTAGTTAGTGTTCTAGTATTTGTATGTGTATGGCCCTTTTAGGGTAAAAGCCTTATAGCGCTTATAGCCATAAAGCGGGAATTACATTGCATTAAATGTAGGCTTGACTATATGCTATTGTAATATATGAAAATAAAGATAAATTACAACTAAACCCAGTACTTAAATAAATAATAAAATAGGTTCCAGAACGCGACAGCTGGAACGGCGAGCTTCTAGGTTACGTTGTGTCATGGCGCGAATCTGAAGGCAGCGGGGCAGGGCGGGTGATAGTGCGGGGGAGGGGGCGGGGAAGCGCGGGTTTCGATTTGGGGAGCTAAAGGCAGACTGGCCTTCACCGTTCGAGCCTTTAACCGCGCTGGTGTTTCGCCACCATCACATACTGTATATGCTGCTGCACCAGCTGGTATGTAATTCTATCTACCACCAGTTGAATTGACAACATACCAGAATAAATATTTGGAAATAGTATCCAAAATGGATTAACGATTAAAATAGAGAAATTAATCATATGCACGTATCGTGCACATTTCAAATGCTGCGTGTAAAATATATGCTATAAAAAAATTTAGTTGTATAAAACCAAGACTCGCAACTTAGTTCTTCTACCGTAAACAGTTGTGAGATCCACGTAATACCCAGTCGGTTAATTTATTTAGTCTAAGTCTTCTGTCTTAAGTTATTACGTAATTAGCTGATCTAACTACATCTTATACTGACCATATACACTACAAATATTTTAAGTTTTAAATAAATACATTGACTTAGCCATAATTATTATTCTAATTCTATCCACAACGAAGTTATTGGGGGGTCAAAAATGCCCTGAACTGCTTCGAGAAAATAATTTTAAGACTTTGAAATCGCGTGCCCCAGATGGGTCAATTTTATTATCTGACTTCCTTCATCAATCGTGGTTGTAATATTAAAATATTTATTTCGTCTCTCCGGAGTGGCAAAAATTATCTTACTACTGAAAATTTACTTAATTCATTCATATTTAATACTAATATAAATATACCTTCAATGATAAATTAATTAATAAAGGTACCTACACGATTGATCAAAAAGTCGACGTCAAGCCAAGTTACTGAGTATTTTTTTTTTAGCAGGTCTAGTTCCGCCTAGTGCTGTACGCTGTGAAGCAGTATCAGCAAGAGCAGTACGAGTTCGCTGGTCGCCGCCAGCCTCCGCTCTTCTACACTACGATATAATTTACGCACCAATATTATTTTCACAAAGTATGTTAAAAAATATAATTCCTGTCTTTATTTGAATTGTTAAGAACAAAGTCTAGATTCTAGAACGTAGGAACGTTAAAAATGTGACAGAATACTCTTTTATAAATTACTCGAGGTAAAATTCATAAATATATCATAATAGTATCGTTTAACGTGTATTCATGTATATACCTATCTTCTACGTTTTTTTCAGAGTGTACCTATATGACTCTCTAAATTAAATGACCTATTGACGACAGGCAGTGTGAAGCATTGTTAACTAATAATATACGAGTATAATAATGTCTTAATTACTTAATGATAAAATTAAATTTAGAAGCATTATTTGTTTTACTCTTTCATAAACGTACATTAATACGTACTAAAATAAATGATATTTCGATTATGAAACAATGCAGCATGGAGCGGAGCGTCCCGCACAGCAGCAGCACAAGCCGATGGCAGTGGTGGTGAGGCGGTGGTGTCAGGTCTTCGAGCTGCTGTTAACTACTCACTCAGCGTACGAGCTCGGACCAACGGTGGCAGTAGCCCATTGTCAAATCCTGTTTATTGTCAAACCAAAGAGGATGGTAAAAGATTTTTATTTATTTGATTTAAATATATGACAATATTTATATAGTTTTTTAGTCTGAACTTCTAATTTTGTCTATTTACCTACTGGCAAAAGGCCAGATCAAGATTAGCATAATGATAGATAAAAATAAATGTATGCAAGTATTGATTTTTACTGTTAATGTCTGTTTTTGTATAAGTTCCTGGAGCACCTGAAGCAGTCCGGGCAGTGGCAGCATCAGCTCAAGCAGTGCGAGTGACATGGGCAGCGCCACCTCCTGAAGTACGAGGGGGACGCATCACTCACTACACGCTCTACACGAGGGAATTGGGCAAGTAAGTGATAGCACAGACAACCTTTTTAGAAACATTATTTTACTCAGTTGTAAAGCAAAAAGCGTGCACTAATTTCTATTGCATTTTCAGCTTACAATTTTAAAACTATATTTATATTTCAAAATTATAAATCATTTCATTTATTACGTCAAATTAGTAATCTTATATTTCTTTGAGCCAATTCGGTCTTCCAATAGCAGAGTTGTATGAACTCGATTGATATGCACAGAATCATTTACTCATTTATTATACATTAATATATTAACGGTTTCATACAGGCCAATTACGCCTACTGTACTCTACTTTTATACTACATATGCGGTTAAAATACGATTGGCGAGCACCGACGTAGCGGGCGCTTTCGGAGTCACGTACTATTTTCATAGTTTCGTTTCTATTTTATTTTAACGAACACGTTAGCGAAAGCTATCTGTCAAATTGGTGCCCTAGATTATATATAGTATATACGTAGGTATTCTAACCTGCAGCAACATAATTAATTAGAAAATAATTAATAGCATTTATTTGTGGGGTGGACTACTGAATTCTTCAAGTCACGTTTAGTGATTTTTCCACTGAGTCTCACGCAGGATTTTTGTATAGATTTATGCTTGTGTAGAGTGGGCGGGGAATGGGCTCAACGCGTGGAAACGGAGGAAGATGTTAGTGAGGTCCGACGGGAAGTCCGTGGTCTTCGCGATGGTGCAGTGTATGAGTTCTGGGTGCGCGCTTCAACCTCGGCTGGCCCTGGGGCTCCTTCGCGTGCCGTTACTGCAGCTCCTGCTCATTCTGGTAACATTAACATTATAACATTTTTAGGTTTTATCATAATAATGTAGTTTTTCTCCAAAGCCAAAGCTTAGGTAATCGAATAATTTAACTTATAATTTAAAATATAATATTTTTGTGCTAATCCTTGATCCTGATGATTAAAACAATATTTTAAAGTTATAGTTAGTATATACCGTTAACCGTTAACGAAGATACTAAATTAGAACTTACTACATATTATATACTCTACTTTTATACCATTGAAATATATTGCATTAAATTTAAAACAAATGTACATGAAACTGTGTATTTGTTATAAAGGCTCTATACACAAATACACACGCAACAGACACGATTGTGTATTAATATGTAATTATTGTATTTTTATTAAACTTGTTTATTTCGCAGTATCGGCGCGCATATCATCAGTGAGCACAGAAATAGTAGCGGCCGTGGGCACGCGCGTTCGACTAGCGTGTGCCGCATTGGGGGCCCCACCACTCCGACGCCGTTGGGTTCCACTACCACCGACACATACTATAACCGATACCGGCGATTTGATTATTAACAGTAAGTATTTATAAGCAATTGGCATTTTTAAAATGGAATGAAAAGAAAATGCATGAATAAAAACTAAATATCAAGTAATAAAAAAATATGTTTTATCGTCTGAGCACAAATTCTTAGACCTACAACGCACTAGCGGCTGGCCGCAATGCGGTGTGCCGCTGCGGCAGCACGCACTCGGCGCGGTTAGCCGCAAATACCACGTCCTACCCGCCTCAGTCATCGCTTGTTCCTTGCGCTAGACACTACGCAGAGATTTTTTGACGATATTTTCTACGATTATATAAATAAAAAACTGCCGCAACTTCTTCAACGTCCATCATGCGCAATATTTCAAGAAGCACTGACGAGTGACGATTGCGGCAGACCGCAATAGGGCCGCAATAGGGATGGTTAGCCGGAATACGGCATGCCGCTACGGCAGACCGTATATACCGCGGCCTGCCGCAGCGGCACACCGCATCGCGGCCAGCCGCTAGTGCGTTGTAGGCCTTACTGTCTAAAATGTCGTTTAAGGATAGTTCACCATTAAACAATAAACGAGTGCGTTTGTTTACATAAAAAATCAGTTTATAACTGATTCTTCAACGACCACCACCACCTAATGTACTGAACGTTAGGTTAATTTTTGTACACCCTTATTCACATGCAAACACACAAATGAAATATATTTAAATTGTAGTGTAAAATATAAGTGATGTGATTTTTAAATTTTCTTCTCCGTAATTTGTTCAATATTTTCTAACATTAATATTTATGATAAGATATATTAAAATTATCAACTTAATTTTGCAGAGCTAGAGGAAAGGTGGTCAGGCAACTATACTTGCTCAGTCCGCAACGCAGCAGGTACAGACACTATACGACACGGCGTTATAGCAGCGGCGACTCCAAGTACGCCTGTACCGCGCCTTTTACGGGCTGACACGCACCGACTGGTAGTCGGATGGGAAGCAGTACGTGATGGTGGCGCCCCCCTCCTTCACTATAGTGTTCAGTGGCGATCAGGATGGGGGCAGAAAGAAATGGGACAGCAAATAGTGGGCGGCGAGCAAGCCGTAGGAGTAGACGAAACGCGTTGTGAAGTTGGCGTGTTAGAATGCGGTGCGCGTTATACAATCACAATGCGGGCCCACAACGCAGCTGGGGCCTCCCCTTACTCCGCTCCTCTACAAGTCCGGACCAGTGGAGACAGTCAGTCATTGCTTTTTTTCTTACTCTAAAATTAAGCTAGCATAGAAAGATTTCCATGACCCATTTTTAAAAAGTTTAATCAATTTCGACAATAACATTATTAATTAGTTATTAATATTTTATATTCTTTACTTTATAACACATTTAATTATATTTTTAACATATAGACTTCGATGAACTCTTATAAGTAATATTTCAACCAATTTACCCCTATGAAGCATAAGAGAAGATGTCTGTGCGTAGAGGCTCTGGCGCCACCTGGCAGGCAGAGCATCTGGGCGAACAGCAGCGCGCTACGCGTTTCTTTGCTGGCGTGGGGCGGGCGTTGCGCAGTAGCAACCTGGCGCGCTGCGTATCGACCGGCGAAACAGCCAAGAACTACCTGGACTGCTATACACGTAGATGGGGAGACTCTCGAGGTGTGTGTGACTTTATATATTAATTAAAGAAAAAAAAAATTGTGAACATTTTCGCCCTTTTAAAGAAATGTTTAAGAACCAAAAAAATATATATATATAATACTCCAACATAAGACATAGTTAATTAGATAACGATTTTTTAAATATCGAAAAAAATTTAGCGACAACGACCATGCCTTGTAATGCACAAACTGTTACTACGGGTAGTAAGTAGTAAGTAGTCGTATTAGCGATCCAATCGAGCCTATAAATTGCTTTAAATATATTTCTTGCCATTATTATCAGGTGGTGGGCTTGGAGCCAGCTACGTGGTACGAAATTCGCGTCTTGGCACAGGCTCCAGCCGGCGAAACGCCTGCACTTTATCGAGCTGCTACAAGGTCACTTGCGGGAGGTACTGTTGTATTTTTAACCGACTTAAAGAATAGGAAAAAGTGTTTTGTGTATCTTCAAGCTTAGCTGTTCCGTCCGTAGACTGATCACGAAATCCAAAAAATCAGCCTAATAGGATCTGCATAACGAGTATATAAATGGTTAAATAAATCAGTTATTTTTATGCCGATCACTAGATGCCCCTTGTTTTACTAGAAATGCGGTATTCATACGGAACCTCCTCCGGTTGTATGTTAAAACTACTAACTGTCAAACTACTACAGATAGATAATATACATAGCATCAACTAATGTCCCATGTTTGAGGGTATTCAATAATTTCAAAACTTCCAAACCTGTTGCAAGCTATAAATACGTGATTTGTTTCTGATTTCCAGATCAGATAGGAGAACCAATAGACTTGCCAGTGGAAGCACGTCTAAGCGACGTGGAAGACGAAGTAGAAGTTCGGAGTAGTGGATGGGGGCGGACGGGGTTGCTTAGCGCACTCGGGGGCGGTGCGTTGGCCTTGCTTCTCGCAGCGGCAATACTCTTGGCGTCGTTACGGCGAACGAGTGGTCCAACACCGCCCCCGACATTGCACAATGGAAAGTCCATAGATCCACCATTAGGTATATTCTTTCCAGTGCTTTATTGTTTTACTACCTCGAACATGGTATATAAAATTATAATTGAAGAAAGAAATTAAAAATTGTTCAATAGAAAATAAAAGCAAATTTAAAAAGTTTTAGTTTTTAGTTAAGCGAGGAATTTGCCAGCTCTGGGGTTACAAATCTTCAATTAGCACTTGTGAACCCCACGCTACAAGAATAAGAATCCCTACACCAAAGGGAACAAAATCAATTTTTATTATTATTATTAATATTACTATGTAGGTTAAGAATATTGTAAAAACTATCTCAGAGTGTCACAACTCTCAAGACGCCTGAACCTGCTGTTCGCCGTGCAGATTTTAATAACAATATACCTACTCGTGAAAACGAGTGCCCAGTGCTCATTTTAAAATTTAGTTCCACTACACAGTACAAATAGTAATCATAGTTTTATTCACAGATGACTGTGACGAGATAAGCCCATACGCAACGTTTAGTATGTCGGGAAGTGACTCGGCGCGCGGGGCGAGCGCAGCGCGTGCGTGTTCTTTGCACGTTCGTTCTCTTCCACGCTCGCCACTCGCGCTAGCAGCGCCACCAATGCGTCACCATTTACTTGCTCAACCTAATGGTAAGTTGATATGAGTTAACTAAAATACTAACCCATATTACAGTATATATGTACATTTTTTTTAATACATAATACCAATATAGGATAACAATAAAAAGTTGTTATTGTTATCACAGAGTACGGGACATGCGGTAGCGTACGTGACACAGACAGTGAGTCCAGCGGTTCGCCATGCGCCGCGTGCGCCGCTGAACTCTACCGTTTGCCCGCTGCGCACCTTTCAGGTAACTCACTAGTGACCGCTTTCTAGACCAAATCTAGTTAAATTATTGTAAATAATATTTTGTTGAGTAATTAAGATGTTTCTACTTACTTTTTGTTTTGATATGCGAAAAGACGCAAATCAATTATTTTATTCTTTATAATTTGTTTTCTTGTATTGTTGTGTAATATCATTTTTTTTTTTTGTAAATTTGGCTTTGGGAAACTCTCTCAAATAGGGTGTACTAAAATAATGTATAATCCTGAACGTCAAATATACGGCAAACAGCGTCCGTACCTATCCTTTATTCCCTACACTCAACCTATTATATACTATTATGTATTTGTTTATCAATTTAATAAAAACTCTCATTTAATTTCTATACTAATTGGCAATATGCAAATTTCGCTTTCAGATTCAGTGTCGTACTGAGTATCGGTATAGTGAAAACATGTGGAAACTATTTAAGCCATATTGCAATATAACATATTGCAGTGTGTACATTATGATGATGTTAATGTATTAAAACATCTCTATATTATATATAAAATTCTTATGTCACAATGTTCGTTCCCATACTCCTCCGAAACGGCTTGACCGATTCTTATAAATTTTTATGCAGTCAGTAAGTCTGAGAATAAGCTACTATCTATATTTCAAACCTTTAAACAATACGGGGTGTCCACCCCAAAAAAAAATTTGTATGACAATTTTTTGTTTTTATTTTTTTATGATACAACACAGAAAAATTCATACAACCCTTAATTTTGCAATCTCTACGATCAACTCCTATTTTTTATTATAGCAGATAGTTATTTTTATTGAACTAAAACAATGTTTCTCAGAAATAATATACATGGCAAAACATAGCTAGTATTTGTGTAATATGAAACGGTTATATAACTTACATCATAAGTTAGTAAAGATTTTAATAATTCTGAAATTCTTGTCACGCCATTGTTTTGTTTTTTATGGTTATCAACTTATTTAAGCGATAAAGCTCTGTAAAAACATTTTATTTATTCTGTAAATATTTAGTATTATTTTAAATATTTTATTATGTTTAAAGATTAATTTCGTTTTTAAATTCCGGAACAAATGAAGATACACTACCAGCGGGTGCAACCACGGCTGCCGAATCCAGCACAGAGGATGGCTCATATGGCTCCCGTCACTTGCGTCCTCGAGATATACGTGACACAAATTCCCGTGACATCAGAGATACGCGTGACATGAGGGACGGGCGTGACACGCAACAGAGACGTGCACGTAGAATAGCGCGTCCACAGCAACCGACCATTAGGTAATATTCTTTTAAAGCCTTAACGGAAAAGATTATTAAAGATTCGATATTCATATGTTTTTGTTTGTTTCCTAAGCCACCGGTTCTAGAGAGAGGCGATGCCAAAATTCCGGTACGAGTAGCGCCTAGTAGTTCCTTTCCTTGAGGCCGATGGCTTATATTAACCCCTTATTCATAAAAAGTAAAACAATCTAATTGCCCCATTTCATCTCTTTTCATCACAGCGTAAACACAGTTGCACAGAAAGAGACGAGTTTAGTTAAAGATTGCAATAAGATTGATTTATTTTTTTGAATAACATGTTAAATACATATTTATATTCCTTATCCTTCATACAAAACTTTGCTATGAGTGACTGAAGAGTAGAATAGAGTTAAAATAAAATGCTTATTTGAATTATCCTAATCCTGAACCCCGAGCTTTTCCTACGCGTGTAGTGCCTTTATATAATAGTGGCGCTAAAAGAGCACCTAGGATTAGAGTAATAGATTTTTTCTTCAGATCTGACTGCAAATCCAGATTATATCTAATTTAATAATATTTTTTCGAACAGAAGACCATAGATATTTTCGTATTATTTAATTACTACGACTCAAACACCAACGCTCGCTATTTTTCTTTATATAGCAGGGGGCAAAACCTTTTAGTCAGTCTATGGTAGCGAATTCAGCTTGGCAACCCAGCTTTCTTTTTTCACAATAACTAATATGTAGTATGTAAAGGGGAAATCGTTTCATACAATCTAAACAAAACAATCAAATATTTAGTATTTACAATTCTCTTAAACTACATAGTAATAAATAAAATAATTGAAAATGAATAAAAATTAAAACAAATTTAGAAAGTATGATCCCTGTGGCATCGTATCTTTAACGCTGGCAGCAAATGTATGTGAAAACGCGGTTAAAATATATAATAAACTAGCAGGCCGGCTAAGGTTTTTGTTATATTACATGGTAGTAAGCTATTCAAGGGAAACGGTAGGAGAACACCAGTCATGGGGACCACCATGCTTTATTGGTGGTTATGCCATTAAATTGTAGCTTATGTGAAACGTTGGTACTTTCAACACAGCGCCATCTGTTAGAATTGTGACTATCAAATAATAAACAAATATTTTGCAATAAAATAATATTGCGGGTATAAATTGAGATGTAAGCTATCCTATCATTTAAGTTAGATCAAACTGCACACGGCGTGCAAATTTCATTGATATCGGTTCGGTAGTTTAGGAGTCCATAGTGGACAAACAACGTGACACGTAATATATATATATTAAGATAGTACCTACCAGTAACTACCACTTTGAAATATACAAAAATGTTACACTACTAATGCCTCCAATATTATAGGTATGCGGGAGCCGTCGCAAATTGTGCACCGGAGAGGAACTGTACATAATGTTATTATGTTTGGGAACTTGTTTTTTATTGACCGATGTTATTTTATTAAATAAAATACAACGTTTTCCATGTACTTGTTTTATTTGCACAGCTTTGCTCAGAATGTGTGTACTACGAATAATCTAGATATTAAATATCCTTTGTGACGTTTCACTACTTCGTCTGCCGAAGTACAGCATAGAATGTATACGAAGACTTGAGGATCTGAAATTTTTCTAAATATTCGGTTATTCCATAGAAAGTAACCAATACTTAGATATTGCAGTGTTCGCCTAGTGGCTTCAGCGTGCGAGTGTCATACCTGAGGCCGTAGGTTCGATACCGGATGTGCATCAATAGACTTTCTTTATATGTGCACATTTAACAATCGCTCGAACGGTGCTAGAAAACATCGTGAGGAAACTGGTTTACCTTAGACCCAAAAAGGCGTGTGTCAGGCACAGCAGGCTGATCACTTACTTGCCTATTAGATTGACAATTGATCATGTAACAGATACAGAAATCTGAGGCCCAGAGCTAAAAAGGTTGTAGTGGCACTGATTTATTTTATTTTACACCGGTTTATTTAAATTGCATTTAACAATTACTCTATATAAATAAAAATAAATGGCTTAATGTTTTTTTTAATTTTTATTTGAACTTCGAGGATAAATCATCCCCAGAATTTGGAGAGAAAAATTGGCAAAATTGCACGGAAAACCATAAAACCAGTTTCATATATTAAGGTGACAACGTTCGCGCTAGTAAAATAATGAAAAAGAAAATTTGTTTTGATTCCGATTTGGAAGTATTTACCCCTTATGTTAATATGAACCAATATCTAAAGCTCGTAAGTCACCTTCAGGAATGTATCAAGCGAGAGCGGAATAAGCGTAGAGGCGGTAAGGCGCAGCGGACGGCGAGCACACTCCATTACGATCAAAAGTGATCGTCTAAATTGCGCCGGCGCTCCGACCCACTGCATCGCATAAACCGAACCAGCCAGATGCGAACTCTGCGTATTTAGAAGGATTCACTTCAAGTCTCATTCGAAAACATACTTATACAGTATTTTTCAATCATATTTATTACATATAATTAATAATTATTTATAATGTTTTGTCACGCTTCGAGAGAGGCAAAAACCTTAGTTGTTTGAGGCTGAAGAGTTATGATGTAAGATATAAGAAGCGTACGTATTAGTGCATTCCTGTACCTGTTTCTACTATTACTTTACGTAATTACTCTGAAGATTTCCGTAAGCAGTCAGGAAAACCCTTGCAGCGTTCCCGAATTAATATCCACCGGGATTTTATACGTAATCAATTTCCCTAAGTTGAAATAAGGGCTTACAACAACGACAACAAACCCGTTATGTGCGCTTACGTTGTTTTACGCTTCTTCAAACTAAAAATATATACGCGAACTTTTACCCGCTACGCAAAATCAGACCACGTTATCAAGACGTACTGGCACCTTCTCAGCGTCTCCTTGTGATACTCTGCGAAACACAAGGAACTAATAAATGTTTAAATTTTAAATAAATTTTTATTTCTTACCTCCACTGACAACTCGGTACCAAAGTAGCAATACAGAAATAGCTCCGTTAGAATGCAACATATGAAGAGAGCCATTGACGCAAACTCGATGCTCAGCACGCCCAGCTGTTAAATGTGATGAATTTTTGTATAAATGGAAGAATTGTGATATTAACGTGTGATATAATTATTCATACTTAATAAAAATATGTAAGTAAGGCAAAAATAATTATCTAATTAAAAACTATTTTTATATTACTATTTGTATATTTTTAAAGTGATAAACACATAAAATGTGTGTAAAAGAAGGTCTTCTTCTCCTTCCCCTTCTTACCTAAAGAAAAGATCCGCGATCAGACTAACCACTGACTGGCCCGAAGGCCCCAGTAGCGAAGGTTCTGAACTAATATATATTCTATATATATACTCTTAGCGGTCGGAATAATTTTGTTAGTGTAATTCAGGGCATGAAGTAAACGCGGACTGATAATTACCTACTTTACAATTTTACACGATATTATATTTATTCCTTATAAATTCAATTTAACTATAATATGTGTCTAAAACATCATCGGCCATAATTGGGTTTGATTGAATTGACAGTAATAACAAAAATATATCTAAAGTGTAGCATATAGTTTAAAAAATTAACACTGTATTGACACTGATTCTATATTATATTAAAAAACCCATTCTGCATTAGAAAAATTAAAAAAAAACCACTCATTAATCATTAATACTTACGCTTACAAGTTTATAAGCCGCCATACATAGAATCCATCCTCCAATACCAAACTGAACCAAAATAGCTTTTCCGAATATCTTCTGGACTGACTGAACCGTCCTAAAAATATTTACTTTATATAAAATAGACCTCCATTTTTCAGAAAGGGTCGAAAAAAAATGAATTGGGTTTTAAAATTGAAAATTATCTAAATTAGCGTACTAATAAAAGTATGTTTAAATCCGGCTCGAAGGGTCAAAATTTACGGTTCCTGGGACCATGGTGTGCTTTAAATTATATACTATATTATTTCACTCCATACAAATTACTCACGTACAACAAAAAAATGTATTCAGTTTTTCTTAGTTTTATTATTAGATTACCTAAATCATCGGAGTTACAACCGAGAGCCAAACACAAGTAGGCTCTTAAGCATTATAGGCGTAGCATTTGACAGCGTTAATTTATTATTTTGTTATACGTGTGTGGTTAATATACATTGAAAATATTATTCTCTATTATTTAAAGCATCTCGTTGTCTGTGTTTCATTACCATGTAATATGGCGGTAATGTTGCAGCCGTTGCGCCAATTGTTGCGTCAGCGCTGTCTCATAAGCTTCTTTTCTAGCCTCGCTAATTGTCCGAGCGGTGTCTGGAAGTTTCTCTAACTCCATCCTACGTATAAAAAGTTCATTAGGGTATAGGCATATGTTTTAAATTTATAACTATAAATAAATCGCGTTATTTTACTGTTGTTCAATGATAAAAGAAAAGGTCTAACTATTCGGCATATTATCTTTGTGAATAAAAGTTTACATATCTACGATTTAGTGATAAAAAAAAACAAAAAAACGGTGTCAACGCTTACTATTAACTATGTGTTGGCAACTAGAATGTATTATTCTCTATTACTCGATCACAAGTCCAGCGACGAAAAACCAGTTATTGTAACTAAATTATTGTGACTGGATATTTTTTACTACATAGTATTAGATATTGAATTTTAGTAACCTCAAAATTCGGAATTGAGTTTGACATTGATAGATAATTGTAGCGATAAAGGCATCTACTGTTGTATTGGCTATCCCAACCAGCGTTGTTACGTAGTAAGAGTAGAGCAAAACCGCGGCAAACCTACAAAAAGATATACATATGAGTTAATTTTAATCTTTATACTGACCTTCTTGCAAAATTCTTCTTTGTAATCATAGTGTTACTAGTAATAAGAGTAACGCTACTTTTAATGCTCCTGTAAATAAGCTGTCTCGCTTTTACAATGTTATTACCAACATTAAGGAAAATATTTATATTCATAATAGTCTTTCTGGGGGCCTCATAGCCTAGCGGTCTTATTAAGTGGCAGCTAGGTGAGGGGTACCGGGTTCGATTCCCGGTTCGAGGGCAAGTTTTAATTTAATTTAAATTTGTTCTCGGCCTTTGGGAGGGTTGTGCGGTACCGGGCGAGTGCCTAAACCGTACATGGAGGACACGGTCGAATTTCTGAGGCAAAAAGAACGAATTATAAAAATCCTATACTTGACGCTGAGATTTTAGTTTTTAAGTTTCTAATTTTTAGATGAAATTTGCGTTTTTATTCTTGCTGTTTTGCCTATATTTGCCTTGTTTTGTGTGTTTTCTTCCTTACTTGTTTGTAATTTATATATTCGTGATTGATGTGTATGTGTGTAAAATTTGTAATGTCATATTTTCTTGTATATTTTAAGCATTTGATTTTGGAAGTTATAAAATAAATATATGTATATGTATAACAATCCTTAAACATTTTCTACGCATACATTTCGATAATACATATTAATATCACCCACATAGGCGATGCATCCGTGCTTTGCGGCGAGGCAAACGGGAATTCGACATGAAGACCTCGAGTATGATCACGTATTGGGAATGAAAGCCACAGAGTACACGTTAGCACGGCGCATCCCGCATAACCTGCTTCCACCCTCCAAGCGCGCCTTGTACATTCTTTTAGAAGCTGCATTGCCGCGTCTCCTTCGTTTTTAAACACCGGCTCCTCTAGCGCATCAATAAGCCGCTTAATAGAATCACTATCAAAGTGGAACACCAGCTGCTTAGCGAGTGACGTCACGTGACAAAGGAGCAAGAACATGACGCGCGATAGTTTGTCCAAGTCGCTGCGTACTTTGTAAGCGTATACGCATTCTTGTACTAGGTACAATGTTGTTACCGCTAGCACCCCGCGTCGATATAGGGCGTGAGCTGGGCCATTACCGCGCAAGAAGCCTGCAAATCGCAACACTCGCGTATGTATCGCTACGCACTCGCCTGCACTGGACCTGAACAATTCAACTTAATTAGATTCAAATAGCGTAATACACTTCAATATAATATTATTAAGCCGCTGGAACGAATAGGCCTTTTGACAATAGTTTTAAAAGCATTTCAGATAATTTAGTAACTAAAGAACCTATACAAATTGTTAAATTTTAATTCTGTTATAGGCTTCAAGTTACATTTTAAGGAATCCGCCAAACCGCGAGAACGCGTCCCACCAGTACCCTCTCGTCCCACAACACAAACAAGCTATGATGATTCGACTAATCAGTCACCGTTTTTTTTATTTGCCTGACGTATAAAAATCAATTATTTAGACTGATTATTTACAAGTTATATTAATCTAAAACTCTTTTAAAGCTATATTTCATACGGATCACTCTCAATAACACTTTATTGTTCATACTGTCAAATAGCCTATTTCATTTAGATTCAAATTAAAC